TCGGCGTAGTTTTTTCTTGAGTTGTTTTAATTTATTACGAAGTTGTTTATAGACCAATCTTGTCCAGTAGCAAAAGCCGTCGTTTATCGTGCTTTGTTTTAATCGGTGCTGCAGTGACTTGTTTAGGTAATAACATTGAGCATTTTCTTTGGTTCATACACACATTTCTTCCAATACGTGAAGATGTCCTACTTCGCGAACTCGCAACATCTGATTTACTTTCCACTGAGAAAAAGAAAAAAATAGTGAATCCAGGTTACTTCAACTTTTCATTAACGCGTTCAGTACCGAATAGATTGTAACAACAGCCATGTACTAGTTGACTTTAAACCGCAAGAGAAATCAACACCACAGGGGATTAACGAGTTTTACTATGGTTCCCGGCTATTGTCGTTCATTTTACTTGTTTGTATTTTTCACGTAGAACCAGGTAAGTAAATCTTCCTTTACTTTTGCTCCTTTTTATTATCGCTGTGTCTATATGGCCGGTTACCGGTCAAGGTCTTGAAAATGCTAAATGGCCGGCAGCTCATAAAATGTGTTTTTCCCTCTCTTATTATCTAAACGAGCTTCCAAACTCCAAAATAAAAGTCTACGAGTAAAATGAGTGTGTTAAAACTTACATACACGTCGCGCCGAAATTCGTTGCACTTAGAGACATTGTGCGAACTTGAACCGACTGCCGGCCACGCAACAACGAAATCCTAAATGGCCGGCAGCCCATAAAATAACAGATTTCTCTTTTAATATTCTTATTTAAAGAGCTAAAACAACATAATCAACATTTCTGAAACTTTCATGGTACTGTAGAGACATTTTTCTATTCGAGAAAAATCTCAACCAACACGGCGGACTGCCGGTCACACAACATCAAAATCCTAAATGGCCGGCAGCCTATAAAATAACAAATTTCTCTTTTCATGCATCTTTTATTATTCAAACTTAAGAGATTATTGCCAGTGTCAGTACATTACTATATCCGAGAAACATCTGCATTCTTTACTAGGATTACAGTTCATGTTCAGAGGGTTATGCTGTGTGGCAGACAGCTCATATCTGTCATATGCAGTGGAATCATTATCCTGATGAAATAAGACTTTAGTATAGGAGAACTATAGCATTGATGTATGATGATAATGTTGTATGATGATAATGTTGTATGATGATAATGTTATATGATAATAATGTTGTATGATGATAATGTTGTATGATAATAATGTAGTATGATGACTCAATTGTTGTATGATGTCGACAATGTTGTAAGATGATGAAAATTTTGTTTGATGAAAATGTTGTATGATGATAATGTAGTATGATGATAATGTATAGTATTATGAAAATGTTGTAACAACATCATTATCATCATACAACATTATCATCATACAACATTATCATCATACAACATTATCATCATACAACATTATCATCATACAACATTATCATCATACAACATTATCATATACAACATTATCATCATACTACATTATCATCATACAACATTATCATAATACAACATTATCATCATACAACATTATCATCATACAACATCATCATCATATATCATTTTAAATACAACATTATCATGTGAGCTGTCTGCCACACAGCATAACCATCTGAACATGATCCTAGTAAAGAATGCAGATTTTTCTCGAATAGAGAAATGTCTCTACAGTACCATGAAAGTTTCAGAAATGTCGATTATGTTGTTTTAACTCTTTAAATAAGAATAATAAAAGAGAAATCTGTTATTTTATGYGKTGRCGGCCATTTAGGATTTCGTTGTTGCGTGGCCGGCAGTCGGTTCAAGTCTCTAAGTGCAACGAAATTCGGCGCGACGTTTATGTAAGTTTTAACACACTCATTTTAGTCATAGAGTTTTATTTTGGGGTTTGGAAGCTCGTTTAGATAATAAGAGAGGGAAAAAACACATTTTATGGGCTGCCGGCCATTTAGCATTTTCAAAACCTTGACCGGTAACCGGCCATATAGACATAGCGTTTTATTATAGTTTATCAAAATGTAACTTTTTTCACCCAGGTTTGGTCAAAAACTAAAACAATAAGTGATACTTATTTCTGCTACCGTTGTCCCCGATAGAGGCTCGTTTTTTCGGCCACTTCAATACTTTTTCGGGCTCAATAAGCGGAGCTTCGCGAGAACAAAAACGAATAGCAAAGAGAGAAAAAGTCTCTGGGACTAGGGTATATTTCTGCGAGCAGTTTAGGTCGTGACGTGAAAATTATATCCTAACCTTGGGCATATTGCGTTGTCCCTTCAAACATTGTCCATAGAACTTTTCGACGCTTGACTCTCCTAGTCTCCAAAATTAAAAGTTAAGGCCCGTTTACACATGCGATTTTGGAGTTTCGAACATGCTTCAGAAAATTGGCTGCAACTTGGAACGATTTTCCATCGTCACAACAATCGCAGGGCAATGTGGCAAAAATCGCAAGTGTAAAAGTGCCTTTAGAGAGAGAAACCTGTCGATTTTTGTACCGATTGTATCACCTCTGACAACATAAAATGCACCACCAATGATCGAAGTGCACATCTTTTATTAATCTGTACTCGAGTATATATTATTTTGTCCTTACATTTTCAGGTAAAAAGTAACATGTAATTTGCAGAATTCCCGTGCGGCCGCGTTCATTGTAGGATGGTAATTGATGGTTAATACTAAAATGAAACCAGATAAACTATAAAGAGTATTCACTTTATCTAATTGCATTTTGTACTTCTTTCTTTATCATGATATTGAATTCATCATAATATTCGTTACAGCAGTACACTTATCGTAGAATGCGCGGTATGAAACTCTGGAAGGAAACCATGACACTTCAATAAATACAAGATTTACAAAACAACACACCAGTTTGAGGCAAACAAAAAAACAATCCAAGAACTAAACCAGAGTTACTTTGTTCTGAAATAGCTTATAATGATATTCAAAACTGCATTAACGATTATATACAATATTAGCCAGCCTACTATATAGCTATTTCAAAAAAGGTTGTCGGATAAAATGTCAATGTCGAACGGCGATTGCACGACCGAAAGTAGCCAGCCATGGGTATTGCCTGTTGAAAGGAAATAAAAACTGATTTGTATTGTAAGATAGTCTGTCGTAAACATTGGCTCCATTTAGCCTCCATTTCTATGTGGTGAATCCAGTAAGTGAAATTTTGAGAAATTTTAAGTGTAACCATAGTCCCTTTCGGTCGTGCAATCTTACTTCGACAATCGCCGTTCGCCGTTCTCCCCGACAATGTTTTATGAAGTAGCTGTATAATGGCTCCGTAATCTTATGCAAACATTTTCGAACTTTGTCGGCAGCTATTTTGCGGCGAGAAACGATTCTACAATATAATGATATTTACAGAATATACAGCCTTTTGCACAAATTATGAGACATTTTTATATATATAAATATACCTAACCAAATATCAAAAACACCCCAGAAATTATGGTATATCTCTATTATATTTTGTCATGATTGCCTAGCATCAGGTTGTTACAAACAAAATATCAGCGACGGTATCCCATAATTTCTTGGGTGTTTTTGATATTTGGTTAGGTATATTTATATACAGCTATTTCAAAAAACGTTGTCGGGGAGAACGGCGAACGGCGATTGTCGAAGGGAGAATGCACGACCGAAAGGGACTATGGTTGCACTGCTTCGATAAACAAAAATTCACTTATTGGATTCACCTTACATAGAAATCGAGATTAAAGGATCCAGTGTTTACCACAGACTATGTTACAMTATAAATCAGTTGTTATTMCCTTTCAACTAACCAAACCCATGACTACTTTCGGTCGTGCAATCGCCGTTCGACCATTGACATTAGCCATTTTATCCGACAACCTTTTTTGAAATAGCTATATATAAAAATGTCTCATAATTTGTGCAAAAGGCTGTATATTTGCGTAAAGTAAGTTCTGAATATGGAGAGTTAATCGCTAAAATATCCAAGATTTGGATCAAGATATAGATACCACGTAGGATACTGAATGTCGAGATAATGACAAGTTATCAAGCGAGCTTAATTATTTTCATTATTACGTTCTCCTATTTTAGCGACAATAGAATACCCGTCCACATATCATATCCATGATTATTAGTGTACCCGTGGTCGCTAGTCCCCGAAGTCTTTTAAGAGGAACGAGTTATATTCATAGACTTTATGACGGGTAATGGGGTTCCTGTGGTGCACACTCCCGACTGACGACCACGGGTACAAAGATCTAGTATACACGTATTTCAAAAAAACGTTGTCGTCGCCAGAACACAGTTCCCAGTATTGAGCCTGCAAAGAATCTCGGGATTGCCCAAAATAATAATGTTAAAAATTTTCAGTCCTGAAAACGTGGAACACTTTTCAAGGAAAATGTCTCATGGTTAATGGTCGCTAATACCCGCATATTTAGTAGTGTTTATCGCCAATTCAAACCAGATAGGCAAATATATTTTGAATATATTAAGTACTTATGGAAAATCCAGAAATTCTTTATTGTAGGCTCGAGAATGTGGACTGTGTCCTGAAATAGGTGTATATCTTTTAGATTGACTGCCGACCGCGTTTACAGTACACGAGAGGATGGTATTCAGTGGACGTATATTCTAATATACTCTAGCCATTTTAGCCCTCTATGAGCATTTAAATGATTTCCAATATCGTTTAATTCAATTCTGTTCTTCTATTCTATAACAGTAGTCTTTTTGGTTCAAATCATTACTCGATATCGACCGACATGAATATACATGTGCCTCTTTTTCAAGAGGTTGTCAAAGCGAAAAGGTGATTGCATACTTCAAAAATCACTGTGGTCAAAAGACCATAATGTTCATTTCAATTGTTTGCGTCTTTCGCCGTTGGAATTGCTACGCGACCAGACCAGAAAAAAATACACAACGTGCAAATAGTGACAATTAAAACCGATGTACTTTAGTTGATTTCCAGAAGTCAATTGCTAATTGCAGTGGAGAAGTTAAATCTGGACTGTTTGCGTTGCAGTGCAAACGATGCAAAGGCATGATTAATATTTATTGCCATCAATAATAGATACTCATAGTTACTTTTGGTCATGCATTCACCAATTCTACGGACAATAGCTATGTACATGCTTGAGCTAACAACAAAGTCTACATTTGGAATCGATTATCTTCAAGTTCTACGTTCATTATTGATAAAATATTAAATTAACGCGGTTACATTTTTATATATGAGAACACACTTATGAACGACGTGTTCAAAGCTTTGTGTTGAATGTTTCGTCTATATCCATCAGTGCACTCGTCAGACAATACTTTATTGATTCAGCAGTATCCACCTTTCTTTCATATTTGCAAAGAGAAAGAATGTCATCAATCTGAAGAGAAAAGACCGGCATATCCTTATTACGAAGTATTACACCAAATTGTAGGCTCATGGGATTTAATTTACAAATAGATAATGCATTGACATTCCCATTCTTATTGTATTCTTGTTTGTTTTATTTATTTGTCGTTTTGATTGTTGTTTTATTTAGCAATTCGTAAATTATGCCATTGATTTTATCGTTAGTTGTTTGGTTATTAGATACCTGTTGGTAAGGACTACAATCCTCGGGACAGTTCCTCAGCAAAACTCTAAACAAAAACCTGAACTGCAAAATATCAGCTTTTGCGTATGAGCCGTCTTCATATTTTTGTAGCTTCATTGCTCTTGAGAAATCCACAATAACTGCCTTCACTGGAGAATCCTGAAAGGAAACAGAAATATATATATATATATTATATAGATAGCTTTGGTAGGATATATAGAACTGAGTGAACTGATTTCATTGCACCTCTGACACCTTCTTAGTCCCCAGAGCTGGGTTTTGCACGCGTCACACTGTTTTTAAACTTTGCAGTTATTTTCGGAACGGAGCGCGATTGATGTTTGATTATGGATTTCTTTACACAACACTTTGCCAAAATAAATTTTCTCGGAAGTCCTTAAAAAAAGATCTCTTTGAAACGAACGCCATTATCGCATTAGTCTCGCGGGGATTTGTTACAAGCAAAACCAATATTTTTCAATTGCAATGGGAGGCTTCATGATAAATTACATCATACCTGCGATCCCGTTCGACGTACAACGATTGCTCGTGAGTTAATGTTGTTATTACTTATTCCACACGTTTGTAGGTATTCAATGGTTGATATGATATCAATGCACAAGGAGCACACGATCCTAAATGTCAGTGGTTCCTTGTTTTCCAGGTAATCATGAAGGCATTTGTTAGGAACGTAATCAAAGCAAATCCTATTTTGACAAAAAATGATAATAAGATGTGAGCACTCAGACGTAAGGAACTTAAAATAGAGGATTTGTTTAAAAGTAACTTTGCTTAAGCAATAAATGTCAAATGTGCTACTTACAACGCTGAATTCTTAATTTCCTGAAGCTCTTGTGGGACAATTCCTGTGATTGAGTGCTGCTTTGCTGTAATATAAGTTACAAAAAGTTAATAATTACCATGCTACCCTTACTTCCACTTGCGCGCTCTTTTAAGAAACCCATTTGAAAAGAGATTGGGTGAGTGGTGCCTGGAAAACGTTATCGACCGACTAATCGCTAACTAACTGTTCTTGCTGTTCAAGCTATGCGAACTATGTCATTTGTTAGGCGCATTAGAATAAAAAATAAATGTAGTTCATCTACAATAACTAATATATTCTAGTACTATGTATTTCGGCATAATGTACCAGTGCAATGCCACTTGTATCTCGCCAAGCTAGCTCCAGCGACTTCGGTATTTTCGGCCTGCTTCAGCAAAGACAAAATACAAAGCTCTTTCTCCCAGGCATCTTCCATATCCTCGTCAAAATATTTAAGAAGACAGCGCTCGCGCGTTCCACGATTTTCAACTTCCGCAAGAACGTATCCCTTGAAAAATAGTAGCATATAATTACACGTAAGAAAGAGAGAATTGTGGAAATACTAATGCAGAGTTGGCAGGAATAAGCAAAACTAATCAAAACGGTACACAATATATGAAAACAAACGGGAT